GGGGGGCGGTGTCACGCTGCTGTGCGGTGGGACCGCGGGGAGCGGATGGGAGATGAGGATGAGGGGGGCGTTTTACTGACGCATATTCCGCTATTAATGTGAAAACTCGAGTGGAGCGCAAGTTATTGTGCAGCGTTTGGTGTGCACGCGCACGGACTATCATCCGCCCTGGCACGATGTTTTAAAGTCGGTCCATATGGTCCGCCTCACAAGACTCCCTTCTCAGTGCGGATCCCGGGTCCGGGGCGTGCGAGGAGTAAGAAACGTCGAGAACCAACCTCACGTGGCTATGATTACGCATCGTGCGTCGTGTTGACGAGTATTTAGAATAGAATACGTCTCTTTACTCTCGCACGTCGTGTAGTTCGCAAGGTTGTAATTTCCCAAAGTAGAATGAAAATCGGGAATTAACACTTGACGGGGTTCCCTTGTGAGACTCGGGCTTAGGGGTGCGTGAACAAGGATACAGTATAATTTGTCTCCCTCTGGAATGCACTTTCCTCGACGGCGTGCTCCGGGCGCCGCTGTAGGCCATGAGCTTCCCTTTCGCGCCACGTCTCCGGCAGACTCCCACACCACCACACCGCAGCACGGGCGCGGGCGCGGGCGCGGGCGGGGCCTAGGCCTGTGGGAGAAGCTGCCGGTGTATCGAGACGCACGTCGTGACTACGGCCTGCTTGGTGTCACGCCCGTCCCTTCCCAATAGTGGCACAGCGATGCGACCCGCTTTGGGGACAAATTTCACTTGTTTGCGGCCGCGCGGGGTGACGGCCTCTGCAGGCGACCTGCAGCAGCAGCATAGCATGCACTGAGACGGCCGAGGCGAAAGCTGCAAAAGGCAGTGCTCGCGCATAGAAATCCTAACCAAAATACAGTTTACTGCAATTTGTGAGGTGGAAACTATGCTACTCGGATTCACGGGGTAGACGTCGATGGGTCAGTGGTGGCTGTGTATCGGCATGATTGCCGTCTGCCCCAGGAGTGCTGGCAGTTCTTTGGGGAGGCGAGAGGGTATGATGGGGATTCAGAAGTTCCGTAAACAAAGTAGATAGACATTCGTAAGACACATTGAAAAGAAACAAAAGTACAAAAACACAAAAAGCTGGAATGTTTCTTGGCAACTTTAAGAAAAACCAGGATAAAAACGGAGATCTTTTATCAAAATGGGAAGTTTTTACCTTCGAGTAGAGATAGCCTAAAAAGACTGTCTAAAAATAATAGAGATGTATTTCTCTTCTTCTTCTTACCTTATCGTTTCAACAAAATCGGAAATAAAAAAATATCCCGGGGAGAACTTGGGAAAAAGTGCTTATCGGACATATGGTAGTGCATTGTCAACGTGTCAACGCCACGCGGATATTGAGTGACTTTTGACACCTCGCGCCGCTTCTACAACAACTCACGTCTAGACTCACTTGACCTTCGCTCCCGGACTCTGAGCTAAACGGCGGGGACCACCCCCCACCTCCACCATTCAAAGTTCAAAGGATTGATGGGCAAAGGGCTGCTTCTGTCGCGTATCATCGCAGAATGAATTGTACAAACTAAGTGTCTGAAACGGGTCCAGAAACATGCGATTAGAACTGGTGGTGCAGATGTGGTGGTTGCCATTTTTGCTGGATACCTTTCCCGCCACTCTCACCCGTCTTTCACCTCTTACACTACCTCCCCCCTCCCTCCGAGCCAATCCGGCTCACCCCTGCGGCCGGCACACCCACCGCGCGCGCGCCCCTCGCCCAGGGACGCCACCGCAACGACGCGACCGTGATTCCGCGGCGCTGGAAGGACGCGTGAAGGAGGGGCGGGGCGGGGCAGAGCGGGGGCGGCTGGAGTCGCTGGAGGACGCGACGACGTCAATATAAGTCCCCGCCTCGGCGACACGCCTAACAGTTTGCTTTCGAGGCGACCCGGAGACACACTGTGAGGGGTCGGCCTCCTCGCGTCGCGCCGCCGACACCACCACCATGACGTGCTCCGCGAGCGCGCCGTCGTGGCTCGTCGTCGTCGTCGCGGTCCTCGGCGCGAGCGCGACCCTGGGGCACGCCGAGCCCTCGTCTTCGTCCGCCCTGCCGAGCCGGGACGTCGACGTCGTGGTGGCCGAGTCCCCCGTCGCGCTCCTCAGCACCACGACAGACGCCTCGGCGGACGCCGCCGGCGCCGCCTCCATCGAGTCCAGCGGCCAGCAGGACAGGCCGGGGCTGGCGGATGTGGTGAAGGCCCGCCTGGGCGAGCAGCAGCCCGTCAAGCTCGCGGGCAGCATGATCCTGGGCAACACCAGCGCACACCTGCGCGCCGAGCACGTGTTTGGAGGTGAGTGAGCTGAGCACCGGGATACTGTACCGCTCGCAGATGCGCGAGCGGCCGTGAAGTATAGGCAAAGCCCGCTCCGCTCGTACGCCTGCGGGCGATACAGAAGAACCCGCGTGACCTACCTGAACCGCTGACCGTACACAATAAATGAAAGAGAAAACGAATATCGATATGCTACTGTGACGGACGAGGGGGCAATAACTCCGGGAATCATGTGCACACCTGCCTGGGGATCATCAGGATAAAAATTAATCACAATCAATAGAAATCAACTAAAAATAAGCGGGAAACTAGTGGAACTCGTACAAATTAGTCGAAATAAGCGTTTTCTACCACCAGAAAACCTAAGAAATTAACATAAGTGGACGGGAATCGATGGGAATCAAGGATTTCGGGAATCATGTGTACACTTTAAAAGTGAGTAATTGCCCCCTCGGTGACGGATAACCACCAAACGCCTTATAAACAACTGTGTTTTTCCTGATGCGTACCTGTGATTTCACCTCGTCGTGCAGAGCGCGGTGCTAAGGCGATCCGCTTCACCTCCAAGAGGGGCAACGAGCTCGACGCGGGTGTCTCGCACCATGCCTTCACCACCAGCCCGACTACCTTCACCACGACCAGCACTCCCGCGCCCGGCCCGGGGCCAGCAAGCGCGGCGAGCACGGCCCTGCAGCCCGTGGAGCAGCCCAGCGCCTGGAGCGCCCTCCGGGGCGTCGTCTCGGACTGCATCCTCGGCTTCTCCGCAACCTGTCTTCAGCGCAAGCTGTTAGTCTTCGTCAACAGAGTATCTCGTATGGAAAGAGTCAAGTGAGTAATTTGCGATAGAGTAATTTCACGTGTGTCGAACCGTATATCTTTCACATTTTAACTCCCCCTTCGTGTCTTTGTCCACACCTACAGCCTCCTCGGCAGTTACGTGTCGCTAGTGCGCGTGTCTGAAGATGCACCACCCCCGCTGTCCGAGCACGTCCTAGAGGCGAGGGTTGCCGACGATGAGGACGACTCCGAGACGGCTCTGGAGGCTCTGATGGAGCACAACGTCGACTCCTTCATCGAAAGCCACGTCCTGCGCTTCCGCTTGCCTTCCTGGTTCAGCACTGCGATCGGCGGCGTGGGCATCGGCACGGGGAGAGACGCGGATGCCGTTGACGTGGACCTGGAGGATCTGGTCGAGAGTACGTACGGTGGTGGACTGCTGGCGGGTGCGCGGCAGTAACTTAGCGACTGACCACTTGAAATCTGTTCACAGCTCGACAGAAGGGAGGCAGCAGCAAGGGTGGCGGCAAGGGTGGCGGCAATAAGGCAATAAAGAAGAAGATCAAGCAGAAGCAGAAGGGCGACAAGAAGGCCAGCAAGCAGAAAAGCAAGATGATGAAGAAGATGATGAAGAACATGTCCAAGATGGGTGGCGCCATGATGTTCGGCCTGCTGGGCAAAGCCGCCTTGCTCGCGCCGCTGCTCGGCCTGCTGTCCACGCTGGCGCTCAAGGCGTCCGCCATCGCGCTCATCATCGCCAAGATCCTGCTGGTGCGCTCCATATTCAGCGGCGGTCTCGGCGGTCTCGGCAGCCTCGGTGGCCTCGGGGGCGGCGGCGGGGGTGGCAGCGGGGGCGGCAAGGGCGGTCTGTCCAGCCTGTTCAGCGGCCTCGGCAGTGGCCTCGGAAGCAGCTTCGGTGGCGGCGGCGGCTCGCAGCAACCCAGCAGCGGGTACGGAGCCCCGAGCAGCAGCTACAGCGCACCCAGCAGCCAGTACGGTGCACCGCAGCAGAGCTACTCGCCGCCGGCCAGCAGCTACTCGCCGCCCAGCTCCGGGTACGGCGCGCCGGCGCCGGCGCCCGCACCGCAGCAGTACACGCCGCCGAGCACGAGCTACGGCACGCCCTCCACGAGCTACAATCCGCCGAGCTCGAGCTACAACGCGCCGGCGCAGAGCTACAACCCGCCGGCGCAGAGCTACAGTCCGCCGAGCTCCGGGTACGGCGCGCCCACCGGGGGAAGCTACTTCCCGACGAGCAGCGGCGCGAGCAGCGGCTCCTCGTCGTCAGCAGGCTCGTCCGGGTCGTCCTTTGGCGGCGGCGGCGGGGCGTCGGCCGGCAGCTCGGCGGGCAGCTCCGCCAGCAGCGGCGGCTTCGGTGGCACGGCCCCCGTGGCGTCGGGCGGCCAGAGCGGCTACGTCGGCGGAGGCAGCCACTGGGTCAACAAGCGCGCCTGGGACGCGCACGCCCTCGCCTACAGCGCCTACCTCCAGGAGCCCGAGATGCACACCACCACCGAGCCCATGCTGTGAGGCGGGCCCTCGGGCGGGCCTGAGCTGCCCCAGCCCCTCCCGGCCAGAAGGCGCGGTGGAAAGCACATTCCGGTCCTCCCGCTGCACCGCGAGGACTTCCAAATGGAGGGGTTAATGTGCTCTTGGCCGTGTTTTCCACGCCCAGGGATGTTGCGGCTGCTGGGTAGTTAGATAATGATGAGCTGTGATTGTTTCTAGTAGTTATTTATTTTTGATTCTTGTAGATGTTTCTTTGCTATCTCAATAAATACTATTTATGAGTGCCAAACCTTTTCGCGTCTATGAAAAAAACGGAAAAAGGGTATTTGGTCAGCCCAATCTTACTCACGTCTTTTGGTTGTGGTTTCTACGTAAGCGTCAGCCGACTTGCTTGAAGTCGTAAAGTGTGCGGAGTTGTTTCCTTAGAAGTCTTTTCGAACTTCGCGGCTTTTGGCTTAGCCTGATTTATGACTGATAAGGTCCCACCCCGACACCGGTACGTCGATGCACCTCGTCGGCATACCATGTGCAAATTGATAAGATCTGCTTAAGCGCAGCTCATTCACTGTTCGCGTGACTACGTCACGAGCGCTTGAACTCACACGCGTCGTGAACACGAGTCTAGCACGCATACGGGCCATGGACAAACTTTGTGCCAAACTGACTCCGACCCAGCCACGTTTCGGCAGCGATGGTGGGTGGACTGCGGTCAGTTATTAACTGGCTTATCGACATGACAACTTGAGCGCCGTGGTTTCCCTTTAAAAAGCCCCCGGACTCACAGGCGCGCGTGTGCTTATTAAACATGAACGGGCAAATCTCACATCTGGCCATGACAAGTCCTCACTGATTTTTTTTTGCCGGCGCCCGTACGAGATATCTCCTGTTTGACGAGGACTACATACTACACCACTGTGAGTACAGAGTTGGTAATGCCCACACTCAGAAAACCGATTGTTCAACTCAACGAAATTTAGTGTTGAGAAAACCAACGAAATTTTGTTTCCGTCGACCAAATTTCAATTGTGTTGATTGAGTAATTTAGTCAGGTCGATGTAAAGTAATCAGTTTGAGAATATCTTTGGTTGGGCTGATCACATTTGATTGTCAAAGCTTGATTAAACGTTTCGTTGGATTTAGGGAGTAAATTTTGTTTCCTTCAACACGAATTTAGTCATACGGACTAATAGCTTCTCTCGGTGCATGTGTCTGGCTTCAAAGACCAACGCGCGCGCGCGCGCCGATTCGGCGTAAGTGAATAAACAGAGGAATACCGACAATGAGGATGTGGTGGGAACCCGCGGCCACCACAAGCCCGCCCGCGCCGCCGGCCAGGCTATTCTTTTGTCCTATGCGACGGGCCCGTCGTTAGTCAAAGCGTTACGCTTATCACCTGGGCCTGGGCCCGGCCCGGGCCGGCTAGACGTGACCAGCCAGGCCGGGCGCCGTACTGTGTCATGCATATGAGCCTGTCGTTTTTTCCTTTCAAGTATTTAAATTTAAGGTTTGGTTAAGTTGGTGCACCTCTCCCACCACCCCTTTCCACACAAATTTGTCTGTTTTTCTTGATTTTTCTTAATTTGTTTTTCTAGTTTTTTCTGATTTTCTCTGATTTACTTTTGAGTGACCGGGCCCCGGGAGCGCGTCGTTTGTACGACCCGCGTTTTTACGACCTGGCGATTTCGGACCGACCCAAAACCGTTTGTCCGCCCTACATTTTCTAGATTTAGTGCGACTACCCGTAGTACCCCAATCTCCTGTCAAAGAGCTTTATGAAAATGGCCCCACCCATGCTCGCAGAAATTCATCCGATAGTG